CCCAACCCCATTTTTGGTGCCCCCAACCCATTTTTGATGTCCCCATGTCCCCACCAGACCCTGGACGACCTCGACCGGCGCGTGAAGGAGGCCGGGCTGGAGATCACCTTCCGCCAGAGCTTCTTCTCCGACCCCTCCGCGTCCGTCCGCAACCTCAAGGTGAGACCCCACCCCCACCCTGAGGTCCCACCCCACCCTCGGGACCAACCCGAGGTCCCATCCCACCTTCAGGACCCTCCCCAACCACGGTGGACCCCCAAAAAGTGGAGAAACCACCCCAAAAATCCATTGGGGTCAATGAGGAATGGGCGAAGCGGTGGGAGAGGGAGGCAAATTTATGCAAATGAGGTGGGCGGGGCTTTAAAAACCATCCAATCCCGCAGCGCCAGGACGCCCGGATCATCGTGGGGCTCTTCTACGAGACGGTGGCGAGGAAGGTCTTCTGTGAGGTGGGAACGGGGTGGGAACGGGGTGGATTCCGGTGGTGGATGATGGGAATTGATGGATTGTGGATGGATGGAGATGGATGATGATGATGATGATGTTCAAGTTGTCGTTGGTGGCTCCCAAATGCACCTCAGTAGGAACCCCAAAAACGCCCTCAGAGTCCGACTGACGCCCCAAAATCCATCCCGGTGTCCAAGTCCATCCTGGGCTTTGGCAGCCCCAAAATCCTCCTTGGTGTTCCCAAAATTCTCCTTGGTGACCTCAGATTGTCTTTGGTGGCCCCCAAAGACGGATCAGTGGTGGATCAATGGTGGAACTTGATGGATCATGGATGGATCATGGATGGATGAATGGATGGAGATGATGATGACGGATCAGTGGTGGATCAATGGTGGAACTTGATGGATCATGGATGGATGGATGGATGGAGATGATGATGATGATGATGATGATGGATCAATGATGGATCAGTGGTGGAACTTGATGGATCAATGGATGGATGGAGGTGATGGTGATGATGATGGATCAATGGTGGAACTGGATGGATCATGGATGGATCAATGGTGGATCAATGGTGGAACTTAATGGATCATGGATGGATGGATAGATGGAGATGATGATGATGATGATGGATCAATGATGGATTGATGATGATGGATCGATGATGATGGATCAATTATTGATCAATGGTGGAACTTGATGGATCATGGATGGATGGATGGAGATGATGATGATGATGATGATGATGATGATGGGAATTTATGGATCATGGATGGATGGATGGATGGAGATTGATGATGAAGATGATGATGATGGATCAATGATGGAAATCAATGGATCATGGATGGATGGATGGATGGATGGAGATGGATGATGGATTCCAATGAAGGATGATGATGATGATGGATCATGGATGATGGATCAATGATGGATCAATGGTGGAAATCGATGGATCATGGATGGAAATGGATGATGGATTCCAATGATGGATGATGATGATGATGATGGATCGATGATGGACACTGATGGATTCCAATGATGGAAATGACGAATCACGGATGATCTCCCCACCCTTCCAGGTCTACAAGGAGAAGCTCTACGGCAAGAAGTACGTCTGGTTCCTGATTGGCTGGTACGCCAACAAATGGTTCCGCACGCCGGACCCTTCCATCAACTGCACCGAGGCCGAGATGGCCGAGGCCGTCGAAGGTCACATCACCACCGAGATCGTCATGCTCAACCCCGAGAACACGCGCAGCATCTCCAACATGGTACTGGGAGCACTGGGAGGGCTCAGCCCACCCAACCCTTGGGTGACCCTTGGGTGGTGGCCAACCCAACCACGGGGTCACCTTTGGGTGGTGGCCAACCCAA